TAGATGGGAGTAATGAAACAGAGGAATTAAGTTACTTTCCCAAGATCACATAGATGAGGTGCGAAGATGCAGAAACTGAATTCCGGTATGTCTAATTCCAGAAAATGTGCTCTCATATACTTTTTTTTTGTTAAATTGTCTATATCAATAAAAATTGAAATACATATGCATGTGTTAAACCAATAAAAATTGAAATGTATATGCATATAAATCTCTCTTTATCTCTATCTGCAGAAACACGTTTATCTGCATAGAGAAACAACATGAATGAATGAAAGACTATCATTTGGTAATCATTAGGAGATGTATTTTTTTAAAAAAAAGGATCTAAAAGTAGCTCCCTCTCAGTGAAATGAGTGTATTTAATTGAATGATTAAGTCATTATTAAAATTGTATTTCATACAGTTAAATATATTTCTATACCACCTAAAGAACCAAGTTTTTTCCTACATACTGTGGGACATACACCAGAGAAATAACAATGTAAAAGAACAAAGATTTGTTATTTGCTCTGCCTTTAGCTCCAGGCAGAAACAACAGCCCAAAACTATCATCATACCTGAACATGCTTAATTTAGGAATCAGAAACAATGAAAGGGAGTTATTAAATATCAATTATTTGCCCTCAAGAGAAAACAATGAACAACAGTAGGAAAAATTTAACAGAAGGGGAAATGAAACAAATTTGTGGAATCTCTTATGAAAATTCTAACACTGAAATTTCAGTATGGGGATCATGACGAGTATTCATTTAACAAGAACTACAATATCTTTAAATTTGCCCTTAAAAATATTGTAAATGGATTTCATAGTAAAACATGTTTTGACTTGGCCCTATTAGATGCTAATAAAAACCTTAAATTCCATTAAGTATTATTAAAAGAGAGTAAAACATTTAAAACTAGGACATGCTTCCCCAGCCAAAAGCCATAGAAACTCTATCCCATACAATGCTTCAACATAAAAGGGAAACTGGGTCTCCAAGGACATTCACTTTATTGACATAATGAAAGTTCATAGAGGTCACATTCATTTACTTTAAAAATGTTTGGTAACAGTGAACCAGGTCAAGATGAACCACGGGTCTAGGATCATTATTGGGAACATAAGCCATCTAACTATCAGTATTAGAAATAGGTTGATTTAATATAAAAGCTAGATTAGTCAGAAAATAAAATTACTAAAAATTGGCCATGGTAGACAGAAGCAATACAGTAGAAATCTTACCCTCAAAAAAATCTAGAAAGATATTTTTCTCTGACACATTTAGAAATTTGTATTAATGTATTAATGTGCATTAAAAGTTACCCAGATAGGAAGTAAGTAGGAATATAAAAATGTTCTTTATTTAAGGACAATTAAAGGAAAACATTGCAAACTAGTAAAAAAAAAAAAAAAAAAAAAAAAAAAAAAGGAGACTGAAAATTCTTGATGTTCCTAAAATTAAGAATCTCATAAAGAAATGATACAGTTCTAGAGAGATAATAGGATATTTCTGGCATTAAGATATGATTTTCTTTGTAGAGTGAACTGGTTTATGATGTTGCAAAGGATAACATAAAACTTAATTAATTCTTCTTTTAATCCTGAGTTATGTATTAACCTGGAAACAACTTGAAATTCTAATTCTCTATAAGGAAGTAAAGTAGATTGTATTTTCAGTGCAATTAGAATAATGCAATTTTAGAGCCAAGGATGGTTTTGATAGAGAGAAAAATACAGTAGTTCATGAAGAACTGATCCTAAGTCATTAAGTAAAACTGTTATTTAATAATTCCTATGGTATTTTCTCTTCAAAAAAGTACTTGAGTAAAACCTACCACCACTCTTTTCATTTGGAGTTGAAAAAAATAGAATTAACAGGCTCTGATAAGTTTTACTTGATATGGCATTAGAATATCAGTATGTGAATGTGTTTGCTTACAGGCACATACACACTTGTTCCTACATTGTAAAAATTAAACGACATGTACTTCAAATGAAATAAACATGTCTAAATTAACCTCTCCTTTACAGACATCTCAGTAAAAGAATGAGAAAAATGTTGGGGAATGTCTTCTCCAGTAATTTAACATATCCCTCGAGTGTGACAATTTCTCCTACTTTCTTACCATGTAACCCACAAGGCAGATCTGTCTAACAAATTTAAGGTATTGTATGCCTTTACCAATATTTGGTAATGTCATATATTTCAATTAAAACCAAAATTTTAAAAGAAGCCTTTTTTTGTGGAATAGAAACACTGATGTCTGCTATTTCTATCAATAAAGGAATTACAACACATATTTTTCTAAAGTCCAAAGCAACAATAGAATAAAACATCAAAGAAAATGCAATTAAGATGAATAATGTAAATTGGAGTGCTTATTTCTACGAGGTTTTAAAGCTCCATATTTAAGAAAGAAATAAAGTAGCTCAAATTCAAAATATGTACATATTTTCTGATATCAAAGAAATTTTAATCTATGATAAATATTCTTATGTGAGCATTTGATTACATATGCATTCACAAAACATTATTTTATAATAAAATTTCTTATATAATTGATTGCCTTCTATTGTAGCAGGTTTGATTTTTGCTGTTCTTCCTACTTGACCTATGCTGATGAGGAAAATGTGGAAAGAAGAAGAGTAGAAAGAGAAAACATTCTCAAAAATATGGTAAAGATTTATGTGAGAAAAGCAGCATCTATTCTACCTTCTTAATCTTTTATTTCTACATTTACCAGTATATCAGTGCCTCTCATAACTGTTTGAACAATCTCTCAACAGACAATTTCAAATATATTATGCATTTCATAACTATTAAGTGCTTGTAAGACTGCACCAAATTAACAATTTATAAAATATACTTTAGAACTATGTTTTTAGTTAATGAATATACTAGAAGCTGTGAAAATGAATTCCTTTCAGATTATCAGTCTTGCTCAGTACTTATTTTTACCTGGAATATTCCCTACTTCCCAAACTCTTTTTTAAAGTAATAACTTGATGGATGTTGACTATCAGTATCATTTATCTGTACTAAAACTAGAAAGAGAGAAAACACACAGATATAATATCTCAACATCTCTCTTAATGTTTTTCCCAAATTACCATCAGTGTGACATTATTCCCTTTAGGGACTAATGGGTATGTGTTTTTTCACTCTGGGAACTAGTGGAAGCCAGCAGCTTAACATTTTGATCAAATGAAATTCTAAGCTTTTAAATTGCTCATACTTAGCAAAATTTCTATTAACCATCAGAAAACTTTGTCTCTGATCCTAGATCTACTTGTCACTAGTTGTGTGATGTTGGGCAGGTCATTAAACTTGGCTTGAATCCATCCATTTCAATGCTTGGTCATTATAACAGAGCTTAAAATCCATATTATATAATATATATGCAGTGTTCATAATTATAAAATAATTTTTAAAAAAGGAATGGAAGATGATGATTACATTTAAATGGTCAAACAAAGCTTAGCCTTCTACATATTTAAATATGGGGTTAGATACATTTTTGCAATTCTGCTTAAAGGACTCTCTCAGTCTCATAAGAATTTGTAAAAATTCAGAACTATTGGTTCCTTCATCAAACTATAGTAAAACCAAATGGTTTGCAAAGGGCAACATCACTGATTATGGAATTGTGCCTTATTTATATTGAGAACTTGCCATAACATTTTTTGTTATAATAAGTTTTCAATAATGAAAAACATTTTAAATCTGATACCATCAACTAAAACTATACTCAAAGTCATCATACTTAGACTAAACATGGAAATCCAATGAACAGTTTTAAACTATTGAGCAACCACACTCCTGATAGAACATAATTCATTAGAAATATGCTTCTAATAATCACAGTTAAGGAAAGTGAATATTTTGTTTGGATCATCTCACTGAGGCTGTGACCAGTTCACTGAAATCTCAGGGAGAACAAGAATGAATAAACCCTGTGGGCTATATAATCCAGGAAAAAATAACTTAGATACAGTGGAATAAACTCTGTTGACAAAGAAGTCTAAACATGATTAACAAATAAAATTTTTGACACATTTTCTTCCATCTTTTATGATATCCACTTTTAATAAAATATATTGGGTTCTCAAGGTAAAACTTCAAGAGTACGATAAATGTTTCCCCACATAACCTGACTGCAAATCTAATAGTGGCTTCCAGGTGGATGATGTTACACAGGGTTGGATTCATAGATCCATGACTCAGGCTCCTTTCCTTGCTCATCACAGAGAGTATGTACTGACCACTTACTATTTGTATTGATATTACACTAAAGCCATCCATCCATGGCTTCATTAAATCCTCATAAACACTCCATGAAATAAGTGCTTCTAGAAAAGGAATTTTTAGGAAGGGGTACAAATTCTGTCCAAGTTCGTGACACTAGTGTTAGAGACAAGACATCAATGGCAAGGTATTTTTTCCTGTTGTTACCAATACAACTGCTTTCTTTGTTCTTAATTGATGCTTCTCATCATGGTGAATTTCCACATAAGAAAAATATGGAGGTTAAAAATTCCACTGTCTATGCTAAGGGTAAGATTCTACTTGAACAGCAAATCATTATGTTTTCTAACTTCAACCTTTATTGTACATGGCTCTTGAGCATACAGCAAAGTTCTTACTGCCATGACTAAATGAAAACCCATTCTACCTTTCTGCTTTGTTTCCCTTGCATTTCCACCATTAAGAACACATTTATGGCACATTTTACATATGAAACAACAGAGAAAATTATACCTTTCTAATATTAATTTCCCTTCAATATGGGATGAAAATTGTGGTCAGCCTGCTTAGACTGAAACTCCCTGACACAGGAGGGCCCATGACAGGGTCACTGCTGTATCATTCTCCTGGCACAGGAGGAAACACAGCATGGATTAGGTTGAAAGTCATTTTTACTCTATAGACCATTTCAATCAGGTACATCTAAAAAATAAGAAACAAATATATATTTTTTTAATTGGGAGAATGTATGAAATTATGATTTCTGACCTGGATCTGTTGCTGAAGCAAATTGATTTTGTGTTGTTGCTGCAGAAGTTGCTGCTGCTGTCTGGCAATCTGTGGAGAAATAGCACATGGAACAATTTAAAGTGTATTTATCAGTCCTATGGGAAAGTTATCAATGTTCTGTTTCTCAAAGTTTGATCTGACACTGATTATTAAGATGATGCAAATAGATATGCTTGTGCCTGTACAGTACCAGAGGTTTCTCATTAAGTAGATCAGTTAAGACATTCAATCTTCAGGAACCATCATGGCTCTTTGGGCCTAAAATGAATGATGCCCTAAGACACTACAACAGTGATCTAATCCAGTATGAAATGTTCATTTCAAAAATCCCACTTCCTGGCAATATCTTAAAAATACACTATCTCTGACATTTTCAGCTGTTTTTCTATGAGAGTATGGATGAAACAGGGGGATTTTGTGACCCAGGAATTCAGAGTAGCACAAACTATTGTAAGATGCTTTATTTCTTAGTGAGGTTTGTGTTTGTTGGTTGTGTTTTGGTAAATACTGTCCTCATTTCTGCCTCTAAACTGCCAACTCCTCAACATACTCCATTCTGATTCCTGCTCCCATTTTCAACTAAAATGATTCTTAATCAAGTCACCAGTCACTTCCATTTTGTAAACTGAGAACTGATTTTTAGTCCTTACATTTTGACCTATCAACAGAATGCAACACTCAAAGCTTTCAGTGATTCCCGCACCTTCTTCCTTGACTCCAAGTACACAAGGCTGTCCTGATTTTAATCCTAAGTCTCAGTCTGTTCCTTCTCAGTACCTTTGAAGGCTTTATCAACTGTTGCGGTGCTATAAGGCTTAATTTTAGATGTAATTCTTTTCCTTCTATACCTATTCCCATATGCAGTCCAAGTGCTTATAAATTTATTTCTGCATACTAGACCTCTGCGTCAACCTTCAGACCCACTTATCCAATGACATTCCCAAAGGCACTTCAAATTCAACAGGTTAGAAACTAAACTCAGTTGTGTCATCTGAAAGATAGCCATCTGAAATGCCAGCAACTAGCACCATCATCTGTTATTTGCTCTGATAATATCCTCTTACTTATTATGTACCATGGTATGGGTCATGAATATTTTGCTCACCATTTGCAAAAAGCCTGAATAGTTAATGCAGAATGCTTGATTGAATACACAAGAAGAGAATTTTAAAACACCTTATTGCATCATAAAGGGTAGGCTACCTTCTCATGAGAATGTAACATAACTCTCCTGTAAGCAAGCACTGGTTCTTATCCTCACCATTGCCATTTTCATTAAAAAGTGTATTTTTTTGAATTCAGTATCAGAAAGCTAAAAATTCAGGGTAAAATACAAGTAAAGTCCTTTACTATGAATGAAAGAAAGGGGATGGATCTGCCTGGCTGCACAATGAACTTTCTATTTCTCTTATGGACATCAGTACAACTATGTTTATTGTAATGTTTTCTTTTATCTTGGGAATATAGTAAAAACACTTTTTTATGCAGAAAGGTAGGAAAGGAGATAGTAGAAAAGATAAAATGAAATTCATTTTTCCCCTAAGTCCTGTTCTTTCCTCCCACACCCCAATATTTCAGTTGATATTAAGGATTTATCAAGAAACTGACCCCTTCATACCCTTTCATCCTTCTTCCTGTTCCAAGTTACTATTCCCTCTTGCCTGAATTATTGTGATAGACTCCTATTTGCTCTTTCTTCTTCTGTCCTTGTTCCTCACAACCTATTATAAACCAACACCTGGAGAGATCATTTGACAAGGTAAATTGGCATTTTTTGAATAGATGAATGTGGAATGGGGCTTATGATTTGGTGGGAATGCTGATCAGTGAACAAGATCATTAGCATCTCTAAGGGTTATCAGAGGAAGACTGGAGTGTGCAGAGGAGGCATGTGCTGTCTACTAAGTAGGGAGTGTTAAGAGGAGAGTCAGAAAAGAAACTCTCAAGAGAAGATGAACCTAACCTGTATCTTAAGGAAAAAATACTAAATATCATTCAGAAATATCCCCGTGTCCTGATGAAAAGAGGAGTGACCACAGCGTGTTGACTACGCATGTCAGAAATGCATGGAGGAGAGGACCTGGGAGAGCAGATGGGCTCTGGAAAGCTGACCTGCGGCCCTCAGGAGGGGTCTTCTCACAGGCTGGGTAGGCATCACTGCCTGGCATCTCTCCAACATAGGGAAGACATTCTGAAAAACTTAAGGATTTCTCAAGATCAAAGGAGAATGTCAGAGAAAGTAAAACATTCTAGAACCTTGTGATGATATTTGGGGATGGGCCAGAATGCGAAAGAGAAAGAAAGGAGCCTTGCTTTCTATTAGTGATTGCTCAGAGTTTTAGGGACCCTCAACCCACCAAAGTGGGACTTTTTTTTTTTTACAGAGAAATAACCCTATCTGAGCTCCAATTTCAGAGGCTCCCAGAATTTTCTAGAATTCAGATGCCTGATGGTACTGAAAGTTAAAAAAATACATGAAAATACGTGTTTTTCTAGACTATCATAGGCTAGCATTCTGAAGTGTTTTATTATAGGAGGGTAATGCAAGAGAAATATGGGCCATAGCCAATAACAGGCCAAATATATATTAAAATCAAATGATGAAACATTTCATTAAAAATAAAAATGTCATCTTTCAAGCAGATATGAACCACCAAGTAGAGAGGATAATTTGAAAATAGGGCATCTCTTCAAATATATTCTGAATATTTCTTTACCCCTTTCAACTATGCTAGTTTACATTTTGAGAGAAGTTTGGAATATGTGACAGTATTGAGTACCTCTGACTAAAGAATGACTCTCCTCCAGTATGGATGGTGAGTGTACTGAGCACAAAACATAGGATGTTATCCCTCTAAAAGATGCACCATCTCTATGTGGACAATTAGTATCCTCTACCTTCCCTTCTCATTAATAGCAATTTTTCTTTAAGAAACAGTTTTATGCTTTGTTACCAGTTTCTCACTATGTATAAGTTCTTCTATATGTCATTTCTGACTATCTGATTTCTGCTACAAAAGCTCCATAGAAGCCACACTATTAAAACCAATAATAAGAATCTAAATGACAAATATAGTAGATTCTTCTAAATTTGTTCATTTTCCACTCTTCAGCAGCTATATACCAGTATCTCCAAGGATCTACCCTTAGTTCATGTCCATTTTCTCATGATTTCACCCATTCTCTAAGTCAAGTCCTATAAACCTGCTATTTCTATGAAACACTCTGGGCTCAATATATTAATATGGCCATGTCTTGTGTGTAATTTCAATTTGAGCCTAAATGCTTAATCCAATCACCCTAGCTAAGAAATACTGCCTTGACATACAAGTAACTATTTATCCAATTATTCTTCTTATATTTCTTCAAATAACTTACCGCTACTTGAGATTATTTTGTCAATTTCTTTTTCTTTGTTAATCACCTCTTTCCACTGGAATTTGGGCTTTGTCTTTCTGGTTAACTGAGGTAGCCTCAGCAGTTAGTTAGCTCAGTGTCAGGCACATAAGAAGCACTTGATTGAAAATGAATAAAAATTATCTACTCCAGTGTATTGAAGTCCCATGTCTATGTAGATGATCTAAGACATTTAAGTCAGATCTCTCTTGATTGGTATTTCTACCTTTCTCTCACTTACCTGTAGAGGGACAACCTGACAACAGCTCTAATTCAACACCATATAGTCAGCTGCTGTTCCAAAGTAGCCCTCCCCCTGACCTTCTCTATGGCTCAACATTTTTCTTCTGCCTATTGCCCACTCAAAAATTCAACTAAACGTAAATCGTCCACCTGTTTATTGCTTTCTTCTTTTCTTTTTTCATGGTCAACACCCTATCTAGTTTAGATTCTCACTCATTTTTATTATCTAAAATTCCTGCCCCATAATTGAAATTTTACTTTACATGGTGACTCCTACCTATTCTTCAAAGCTCCATAACAAATACCTGTTTCATGAAATCTTTCATGTTCCTGACTGGAAATGTTCTCTTGACTCTCCACAGTTTTTGGTACTTCTCTCATGACCTATTAGCACCTTGATTATCATTACTTTCATGTTACTCATAACTAAAGCAGTGGATAGCTTTCTTCAGATCAGTGTGCTTTGCCATTTGCCTTTTTACTTATTTATGTGGGCAAAAGGGGAGAAGGGCTTTAAATGATCTTTGTACGCCTAGGGGAATGGCATAGTAGCCAGCAAAACCAAGCCTGAGGAAACTGACTATGTCTCTATTTCTTACTCACCTGTTCTTGCTGCTGCTTGGCCAGCTCCATTTGCTGACGTTGTTTCTCAATCTGAGACGCAGCCAGTTTCTTCTGCTCATCATGGGCAGCTAACAACTGCTCTCGCAGACTGGTCAGCTGATTGATCATACCCATAAGCTGCCTCTCCTTCTCAGCGAGGCTTTCAGGAGTTCCTGAATATAACACAGCAAGAAAACATAGGAGAAAAGAAAAATGAGAAGAGAATACTTCATTGACAATGATTTTATTGTATTGAGAACTATTCCAAATGTAAGGTTCTACACACAAATCAACATGGGTGTTTTTTTTGTTTTTTTTTTAGATTTTAATTCAATAGTAAAATATCATCGTTATTTCCCCATCATGAAATATCAGAATGAATAAATATTTTGATTTTTTTAAATAACAAGTAATAATCTATACCTTTTTTCCCCTTTTATTTTACAAGCAAACTGTAGGCTGACTAGCTATTATTTTTAATGTTCTATGTTGAGGCTTGATGGACATAAGAAGTATAAAGTAAAAAGAGGTCTAAAACACAGTGCATGAACCTAATTAACTTTTAAATCAAATTAAAGAGGCAATACAAATACATGAAAATTTAATAACCATAATTTTTTTATTTTATCTTATTGATTTCAGAGAGAGGATGGAAAAGGATGGGATAGAAACATCAATGTTGAAAGGGAATCATTGATTGACTGCTTCCTATACATCCTATATTAAGGTTCAAGCCTCCAACACAGGCATATGCCACAACTGGGACTTGAACCATGACCACCTGATTCATGGGTCAAGGCTTAACAACTGATCACCACTGGCTGGGAAACAACCATAATTATTAAGAGTTCAAGGTATTATTATCAACGATATAATTCCTTAAAAAGAATCTTGAGAAATCTGAACTAAGGAATCATACATTAAAAAGTGGGGGAAATAGCCAATTAAGTTTTAGACTATTTTCTCATTATGTCACTTAGACTTCCTTGAAGATAGCTAGCAGAGAAAATACTCAAGTTTGAGAATGTACATTTAGTCTATCATGAAATAATATAATGTGGTTGGAAAATGAACAGACCATACTATGGGCACCAATATTACAGTTAAATCCAAGATTTGGAGAAGTCACAGCAGTTATTTAAAATAAATAGTATGTTCAATATTTTAAAGTATGTCAGTGGACCTAGCCAGTTTATCTCAGTAGATAGAGCGTTGGCCCACAGACTGAAGGGTCTGGAGTTCAATTTCAGTCAAGAGCACGTGCCTAGATTGCAGGCTCGATCTTCGGCCCCCTTTGCGGGAGGCAACCAGTCGGTGTGTCTCTCTCATGTGTGTCTTTCTTACATTGATGTTTCTGTCCCTCTGTCTCTCCCTTTCCATTCCACTCTCTCTAAAATTCAATAGAAAACTATCATCTTTATCAGATTAAATAGATATTTGAAGAGGTGAGAAGTTCACTGAAACAGAAACATTATCGCTGTGAATTGTTCTAAAACTCACCAGGTAGATAAGATCCCTATGCTAAAGTACTAGTGGAGGAGAGAACATACTTTTTTATTACAATTTTCACTTGAAACATAAGACACTAAGCACTATTTTAATAATGCATGTACCACTTGTATTTGTAATTAGAAAGAAGAATATGTTATAACAGTCACCCTTCCCCATCCCACTGTATTTCTCCCCACTAATTTATGCTGAAAAAGCATGTTTTTTTTTTAAAAGACATAGTTGTCAGACTTATTGGCTTTTCATTTTCATGTGCCCATTTAGGATGGAAACAAAGTATCTAATGTATTTTACATGGGCTAGAACAGAAACATCCAGAGAAGAAATTCTGAGTGAATATAAGGTAAGAATCATGCCATATATCCCCTGCCTTATTCATTGCAGGTGCTCATTAGATTGTCATTAATGATTTCTTATACTTCAGATATTCAAATCATCCAAAAATAAGGACATTTATCCCTGCCTGGGTGGCTCAGTTCAATGGAGTGCTAACCCATACACCAAAGGCTATCAGTTCAATTCCTCATCAAGGCACATGCCCAAGTTTTAGGCTCCATCCCTGCTCAGGTGAGGTCAGGAGGCAACTGATAGGTGTTTCTCCCATATTAATGTTTCTCACTCTCCTCCTTCCTCCCCCTCTAAAAATCAATAGAAGCATATCCTTGGGTGAGGATTTTTTAAAAAGGACATTTACTCTAAGAATTTACTCTATGACTATTGTAATTAGACTCCTAACATTAAATCATATAAATGCTGGGGCAGTTTCTTAAATGAAAATATTCAAATAATGGTAAGATGTACATCTTCATACACTGTCAATAGAGAAGTAAACTGCTATCACATTTCTAGGATACACACTAGGAAAAATAAGCCTTTCATCTTTACGAAGATGATTTCACTTCTAAAAATCTATCCTAAAAAACTATTGAAAATGAAGATAAGTATTAATAAGTATTTGTAATGAAATATGAGAAACAATCCAAATGTCAAATGAGAATACTAGTAATCAAATAATTAGGGGATAGTCAAAGAATCGTTAATGATATGGGAATTTGTTCATAATATAAAGCTAGGTTAAAAAGTTGGATAGAAATGAGACTTCTGTATGTACACCTCAATGCATACACACATATAAATTTAGAATAAACAAAAATATTTATTTATATATCAATAATGGCTCTTTATAAGGAATGGGAATATAGGTCATTTTAGTGTTTTCTTCATATTATATTTAGAAAAGTTTCTACAATGAACATTATTACTATAACAAAATGTCATGAAGGTTGGTTCTTTCTAAAGGTTGTGAGCAAAGGATCTGTCCCAAACCCTTCTCCTTGGATGTAATTGCCCAACTTTTCGTTTGTTTGTTTGTTTTGTTTTTGTTTTTCTGTTTCTTTACATTATCTCTCTTTGTATATATCTATGTCCAAATAATTTCTTCTTTAAAAGGACACCGCTCTTAATTAAATTAAGGCCCACCTGAATGAACCCATTTACATTTAATTACCACTATAGAGACCCTATCACCAAATACAGTCACATTCTGAGGCACTAGGGGTTGTAACTTCAACATAGGGATTTTTAAGAAAACACATTCAACTCATAATAGTTTCCTCTACACACCTGACAATACAACACAAACACTGCTGTGCATGCTTAGGGAGGGCTCTTGTTTCAGATTCTCTTCTCCATCTCCACTGCCATGCTTTATCTTTTTCAGGAATTGTTTTAGCAAACTTTTAATAGAAATTACTGCCATTGCTTTTTCTTTCTACAGGCCTATCCTCTAAACAGGCACCAAAATTAGCTTCAGAGGAAACAAATCTTGTCATATCACTTCCTCTGTTTAAACAACTCCACTATCTTCAGAATAAAATGTCAATTGAGTTTTAAGAATGAATTAATTTATTCAAAATATAACCCAACCTTCCCACTTCCTCTGTGCATCTAAATTCTAGTTACATGAATTTGCCCCATACTTCCCAAATAACATCCTTTATAAGCACCAACTACTTAGCCATTCATTCTTCATGCTGGAGCTCATGTGTTATATTCTTATGATTTTTTCCATTATTCCCACTAATACCAACCATTCTCTTCTTTAGGAATCCAAATAGTATGTCTCTTTATTACAGTACTTACTCATTGATTGCATTATCTTATTTTCACACTTATCTCCTAAAGTCAACACAGTTGTGACACATAATTTTTAGTTATCAATTTTCTTAAACCATGTCCTTCATTCTTTTTTTTTATTATTAATATATTTTGTTGAATTTTTACAGAGAGGAAGAGAGAAGGATAGAGAGTTAGAAACATCGATGAGAGACATTGATCAGCTGCCTCCTGCACACTCCCCACATGCCTTTGACCAGAATCGAACCTGGGACCTTTCAGTCCGCAGGCCGACACTCCATCCACTGAGCCAAACCGGTTTCGGCTAGTTATCAATTTTAAAATATATATATATTTTTTTTAATTGACTTTTTACTGAGAGGAAGAGAGAGGGATAGAGAGCTAGAAACATCGATGAGAGAGAGACATTAATCAGCTGCCTCCTGCACACCCCCTACTGGGGATGTGCCTGCAACCAAGGTACGTGCCCTTGACCAGAATCGAACCCGGGACCTTTCAGTCTGCAGACTAACGCTCTATCCATTGAGCCAAACCGGTTTCGGTTTAGTTACCAGTTTTTATATCTTCATTATCTACTACAGGACCTGGCATATGCCAAGCCATCTAAAACCATTTAATGAATAACATAAAGAATAAAGTCCATTCCCTTTATATCACTCTGAAGTTAGGCTAAGGGAAATGAGGAGATGGGTTATCTGATAAAACAGTTGCATAAGTATTTTGGTTTTAGCTCAAGAGGAGAGGTAAGCCAAGGAACTTATTATTTGTTGAATAAATTTTTCCCATTTTTATAAAACCAAGATAAAGGAGTAAATCCTATGGCTTCATCTCGAAATTATTTTTGTTTGTTTTTGTTTTTTTACCCTTACCTGAGGATATTTTCCCATTGCTTTTTAGGAAAAGTGGAAGAGAGAGGGAAAGACAGAGAAAAATATCAATGTGAGAGAAACACATCTATTGGTTGCCTCCTGCACCAGCCCCAACCAGGGCCCAGGCCAGGGAGTAGCCTGCAACCAAAGTATATGTGCTTAATAGGACTCAAACCCAGGACCCCTTGTTTGCAGTCCACCCTCTCTCCACTGAATGAAATCAGCTAGGGTTCAAAATTACTATGTTCTTTACATTATCCCCCAGTGTGTGGGGTGGGACTAACAAATGACCTGATGGATATTGAAAATTCTGATAATATTTTTAAAACGTTCTAGACTTTAAAGAGAACATTCCTTAATGTAACGTAACAAAAGCCACCAGGGAAGGAAATCAGCTTTAGCCATCCCCCTCTAGAGTAAGATATATCACCATCCACATACTGTTTGGATTCCTTCTTCTGCGTAGTTTCTATAGTGAATGTATTGGGGATCCTATTGATCTTAAGCCATATTATAAATCAGTCTATGAATTGTCATTTCCACTACCTCTCCGTACTCCAGACTACCGTCATCTCTTATCTTGATTAATACACCCATTTCCTAAACCATTCTACCTTCCCTAGTAAAACCCACTCTACCTGCTTCCTCCTCCCCGACTA